AACATAAATAAATTTATATTTTACATGTATAAAGTTGTCGAGTTTTTATATAGATTCGTCAACTTTTATTTCTTTCTAGGTTCTCGTTCCCACAATTTCCCCCTAAAAAAAAAAAAATTCGACATTTTTAACCCGCTGCACAATTTGTTAGACATAATCTAGAAAATAAAACTTAAATTATAATGCAGACTAAGAAATAAATTAAAACTTAATTTTTGGTTCTTGTAAAGTGTAAACATTGCTGAAAAGCCACTTGATTCGCCGATACTTTAAAAAAGCGGGCTTTTGTAAAGTCAAAACTGTACTATCAAAAATCTTTCTTAAACTAAAACCTAAACCTTCCCCTTTTCCTCCTCCTTGTCTTCATTTGAATTTTCTTGAAACTTTTGTTTTGGGTCAAGTTAAGGAGGTGAATTGGTAAAGGAAAAGAAGAAAAAATGGCATGTATCTCTCTCAATATAGAAGCTACTGCTTTAAAGTTTGTAAGAAATTGCCAAAACCATTCAACGAGTTTGTTCTCAGCAAACCAACAGAGTTGTTTCAAATTCAGTTCCGCCAATTGGAATTGTTCTAATTTTCCAGTTCGTCCTACTTCTCGCCGTGGTTTTAATACTTACAAATCTTTCGCCACTGCTTTCAATAGCCTTTATGTGGATAATATCAACCCCGGTAAGAACTACTACTCCACTTTAATCTTTTCAATGTGTTTGTAGGAAAAGGAAAAACTGTGAAATTGGGTTTTTTGCTTTTTAATTTTTTTCAGTGTTGTCCCCTAAAGTTACTTTGCTTCTCTTATTTGGTTCTTTCAGCTTTTGGAAGCTGTTTTTGTACATTGTTTGGTTAAATTTTTAGCAAGTATATGTATTGAGTATTTCAGATATCAATTATTCTGCTTATTCTAAAGAGATTCTATTATTTCTTACAAAATGGATATGTTAAATCAGGGGCGGCTTGACATAACTGGGGCCTAAAGCGTAACTACAATTAGAGTCCCAATTTTTTATGATCTATTTTTAAGTAATTATTTTTCAATAGATAATATAGCTAACCGATTTAATCACTCTTGACTCTTGACGTTGATCTTATGTATTTTTATTTTGAAAAACTTCTTTCCGTTGAGGTAACCGTTAGGCATTTGAAAATGAATCAAGTCTTTTTATGTAAATAAGTATATCGATTAGAGTGTTATCTTCTATTTGTACTAATTTCCGTAACACTTGTTAACTCAAAATATAAGTCTAAGCCATCAATATTAGAGTGACTATTATGCTTTAAGGATCATCAAAGGTTAATACAATATTTTTTTTCCTTTCAAATTCTCATCATTTAGTATCTCAATATTTTAAAATAATACTTATATTTAGTGGTCAGAATGTAAAAAAAAAGCAAACGAAGGTTATATCAAGTTTAAGGAAATTATAAAGATATGTTTACTTTATGAGAGGACTTTTCCATTCCTCAACAGTCACATCAACTTCACGACGACAATTTTTTACTATAAAGTGCTTAAACAGTTTTAAGGAAAAATCACATAATATATTCCTTCTAAAATTGGAGCCCCTCGAAATTGGGGGCCTAAGGCATATGCCTTCCTTGCCAAGCCCTTTGAGCCGGCTCTGATGTTAATGCGTGCTTCTTTTCCTAGGTTTTGATATTCACTTCCCTTTATAGCACAAAAGGTATTTTGAGTTGTTATTCAATAGTTTGGAATTGCCATCATGCCATGTAATGCCAAAAGATTCTTTCTTTTTTATGTTAACGTATCTATTCTTTTGTTATTATTTACCTGGCACAAACTAGCTATTTAACTAGCATAATTAGCACAATTGATATGGATATAGTGTAGACTGTAGAATCCGTTATAATTTTTAACATTATTTATTGATTCATTCTATTTGATATTATAGAGGAAAGGGTGGTTGTCTTGGTTATTGGAGGAGGAGGGAGAGAGCATGCACTCTGTCATACTCTGAGGCGATCCCCTTCGTGTGATGCTATTTTCTGTGCACCTGGTAATGCGGGAATTTCCAGCTCAGGAGATGCAACTTGCATAGAAGACCTCGATGTTTTAGATAGTTCAGCTGTGATTGCTTTCTGTCATAAATGGGGAGTTGGGCTGGTTGTTGTGGGACCAGAGGCTCCGCTTGTTGCAGGTCTTGCTAATGACCTTGTTAAGGAAGGAATTCCTACCTTTGGCCCCTCTTCAGAAGCAGCTGCTTTAGAAGGTTCTAAGAACTTCATGAAGAGTTTATGTGATAAATATCGAATTCCAACTGCAAAGGTCTGCGTCTTGTATCCAGTTATATTTACTTGTTTTTTTGTCTCAATAAAACTCTTTGTTATGATACTTGGCTTTTCTAGTTACTTGGTTCATTTCATCTCTTGGCTATCTGCAGTATCAAGCATTTACAGACCCATCCGCTGCAAAAGAGTACATCAAACAGGAAGGCGCCCCCATTGTTGTTAAAGCGGATGGATTGGCTGCCGGTAAAGGAGTTATTGTTGCCATGTCATTGGAGCAAGCATACGAGGCTGTTGATTCTATGCTTGTAGAAAATGCTTTTGGTTCTGCTGGTTCTCGTGTCATTGTAGAGGAATATCTGGAAGGAGAGGAAGCATCATTTTTTGCCTTGGTAGATGGTGAGCATGCCATACCTCTAGAATCTGCTCAAGACCACAAACGAGTTGGGGATGGTGATACAGGACCAAATACTGGTGGGATGGGGGCATATTCTCCGGCTCCTGTCTTGACAAAAGAACTGCAATCAGTGGTCATGGAGTCTATAATTCTCCCTACAGTGAAGGGAATGGCTGAAGAAGGCTGCAAGTTTGTTGGGGTTCTGTATGCAGGGCTCATGATAGAGAAGAAATCTGGTTTACCAAAGTTAATTGAGTACAACGTGCGGTTTGGAGATCCAGAATGCCAGGTCAGTGATTTGCTTGCCACTTGCAATCAAACTTTCTGTTTGCATTTTGAAATTTGTTAGTACCATAGGTCTTTGTTTCAAATTACGCTTGGGAAGCATTCGTCCTTCACTATTTCACTTTGATATAGTATGAATATGTTGTGTGGAACACACTACTTTCTATTGATCATCAAGTATGGTATTTGCTAAGTAGATGTGGAGTTAGTCTTTCAGTATCAATGGAGTTATTACTGTTGTGTCCTACCAGCGAAGAATTTCGTTAAATGGGTTCAAAATCATTTTTTGCATGGAATACTGATTGGTTTGGGGGGTGGATCATTGGTGGTGTTATTGCTAGATAAGCAGCTGCTTAGCTTCTTATTCCTGAACTTGAAAAATCTCATTTGTGATATGATTCATTGGCATTCTTATTCTGGATAAAAGGTTCCTATTGCCTACTTTCATAGTCCTCTTTCAATTTGATGCAATAGTACTTTCAACCTATTCACAATAGAACACCTGTTGTAGGGTGTTGAGTTCCATCACATTTTAATTGATGTGTGGTAACCAAAATGCCATCTTTGACTACATATTTATTTACAGGACAATCTTAAAGTACAGAATTAGCTTACTGTGGACCCTCGTTTTCCTAATTAATGGCATCTAGGGATGCAATTTGAGTGGTTGTATAGGGGGTTCAAGTCAAGTGAACTTTGTTTGAACCTTTTTGGGTAGTTAGTAACTCTTTGGAGTTACTGATATTTCTCATGTATACTAGGATGCGAATCAAGTATTTCGTTTAAGATAGGTGATTGGAGACCCTCATTTGTTCCAAATTGCGGGAATATCTCTAGTGTTCAAGATATTAATGGATGGCTTTGTGCTTACTTTGGTTTGCCAAATTGGTCTATTCTAGAGCAACAATGGTTGAGTTAGTCAGTCCTTTGTGTTGTTTCCTATGCTTTGCGTATTTCATGAAAGCAGAATTGTAGGGAAGGGCAATTCTTGATCACAGAAAGAGCAAAAGTTTGATGTGATGTACTTTTCTTCTTTTATTGTTTGTCTACCCTATTCAACTATTGCTGGCAAAGTTTTCAGGTTACTTCTTCGGAGGTTTTACATGGAACATGAATCAAAGCATGTAACGGAAATAGGAGTGGGATCTTATTGTGCTTAATGTAAATACTCTGCCCCATGATGTAGTTTTAAACTCTATTTCCTACGCTTTCAGGTGTTGATGGTCCGGTTAGAGTCTGATTTGGTCAAAGTTCTGCTGGCAGCTTGCCGTGGGGATCTACGTGGGGTGTCTTTGGACTGGTCCCCCGGGTCAGCCATGGTGGTTGTAATGGCAAGTAAAGGCTACCCCGGCAACTACCAGAAAGGAACTATCATTCGTAAGCTTGAGGAAGCAGAGCAGGTTTCTCCGTCAGTCAAAGTATTCCACGCTGGGACTGCTTTTGATGCTGATGGAAATTTCATAGCTACTGGGGGACGTGTCCTTGGAGTCACAGCAAAAGGGGAGGAACTTGAAGAGGCCCGAGATAGAGCCTACCAAGCCGTTGAACAAATTAGCTGGCCTGGAGGTTTTTATAGACGAGATATTGGTTGGAGAGCACTACCTCAGAAACAATATTCTTAAGAGTGAACTCCTACAATTGTACATTACATATGGAGGGAGCTTAATAACATTTTTGGAGCGTGATATGGATATCAGCTTGTTGTTCGTATCAGTCATCTGCTGTGGTGTTTGATGTGAGTCAAGTATCGATAATGGAGCCATCCAATGTTAGACGAAATGAAAGGATCCGGGAAATATAGATAGATAGAAAACCTTGAATTAAGAATAAAACACTTTAACCAGTACAAGTGTTTGCTTTTTTGTGCCTATAATGAGCCTCATTGTTTCTGGTTAAAAGGCCCCATAATCATGATTGCATAATAGGTGTTTATTTTGTTTCCTGGAATGAGTGTGACTAGCTGCAATGTGTTATGTGCACGTCTGATTTTGTAACTTAATAATTTAGTTGGATCACTGTATTTTTTGTTTATGGAGTAGACTTTGATATGATTCTCTATTGTATATTTTGATGTCATCTGGTTAAACTGAGCGAACAAAATTCCGTACTTTTAACTCAGAGAAAAAAAGCCCTATTATATTGAAATTGTATTGCAATGATTACAAATTGTATATTTTGAGTCTTATGATGGGTGTATAATGATATGCGATGCCTGGTAAAATACTCCATTTTGGGAAAACCCTAATGAGTGAAGTGGTAAAGGGAATTGAAGAGGTTTCTTAACTAATAGTAATTTAGACAAGCCACTGAGCAGACTATTGAGTAACTAAGTAACTAAAATCTAGCATATCAAGAATGCAAATCCTTTTAAGTTGAACTCTAAGAGGATACATTTTTACCTTTTAGACAGAGGTGCAATAGCATAATCTTATGCTAGAATACTTGATGATTTCAAGCTTAATATTGGGTAGTATTATGTTACTGCTATTGCTAGTGTCTTCTGATTATCTTACTAAGCTGAAATACTATTTAATACTTAGGTAAATCCACACACGCATCAGCTAAAGTTTTGTGACCTTGGAAGTGCAAAAGTTTTGGTAATTTCTCTCGGCAAAGACAACTTTGTATTTAGGAGTCATGCACTTTCTCCAGTTCTCGGACTTAATTCTTTGACCACTTGTTAGTTGAAAGATGAACCCAAAGTGCCATATATCTGGTCGAGATATTATCGAGCCAGAGAACTCATATTTAGAATATACAACAGCTGTTGATATTTGGTCTACAGGTTGTGTGATGGCTGAGTTACTTCTTGGACCCTGTCTTAATGTTTTTGTGCTATTCTTGGTCATATGTTGTATTACTCTTCTAACGAATCCTTTCGGTGGACAGCCATTGTTTCCTGGAGAGAGTGGGGTTGACCAATTAGTAGAGATTATAAAGGTGAATTTTAGAAACTTTTTTGTTCTTGATATTATCTTCTCAAAAGACACTAGCTGATTTTCTTTCCTTTACAATTCAGTTGGACCTTTTTTGCCTCAGTAAATAAGGGAGCACGATAATACAATATGGCTTTAAGAGTTCGCCAATTTCTGCACAGTATGATCATAGACTTATAATGACATAGAGCCTGAGGGAGCTTTTTACCATCGCGTACGAAAAGACCTTTTTAGTTAAATTACCTTTAACGAAGGCAGTAATAAGTACTAGCTAAATATGGCACTGAAATTTGAAAATAAATCTGTGCTTAGCATTCAGCTTGCAGACGGGGATGGATGTCTATATATGGTAGCAGGGAGCGAAAACTACAGATGGAATACTAATATACTCTGTTGAGAGCAATAGGCAAGGTTTCAGAATCTCAAGTGAAACAAACTTTTTTTTGAGTGAGCATAGGTGTACTTGAAGAGATTTGTACTCAGTAATCATGGAAAGGTATTGTAAACATGCTGTCGAAGAGATCTGTTGCAAGTGAAGAATGCGTAGAGAACCTCTATGGTGCAGTAGAATGAGATCAGTTCTTTATCAAAGAAAAAGAACTGAGCCAAAGACGGTAGCTGAGAGAACATACCAAGTGAAGGATCCAACACAGCTGATGGAAATAAACCCGAACCTAAACCATGAGCTAAAAGTAGCAGATGAAGGGAACAAAGAGAAACCCAGGGATGTACTACACACATGCTAATTAACTGATAAATGACATTCCAGGTTCTGATACCAGAACCCATCAAAGCTTACAGTTCTAAGAAGCTGAACCAAATAACAGATAGCAGGTTTTAAAATATCTTAGCATAAAAGGAAATCTTCTCATGACATACAGACAACTAACGAGCCTTGAATATATGCTGTTACAAAACTTGCTTGATCAGCTAATGAGGGTAAAAACACTGCACAGAAGACGACTCAACCTGAAGCACCAGATCATTGTTTTTAAGAATATTAGCAAAAAAATGACCCTATCATCATTGAATCCTGACGCTCCCTTAAAGTCAAGTCTGAAATATGAGCGAAACCAAAGATACCGCATAATAAATGTAATATTACTTGATAAGCTGATACCATGGATGCTTCATTTAACATAAAAAAAATTAGCACTTCCGTTGAAAAACTATTTCAGACGCTCAATTCTTTCCTAGTAATATATTAATGTTACAAAAGAAAAGCACACAAACCAAGTAAAAATGTTGTCTGGGATGAGGTCATGTTGAACAAATTGGAACGACCAGACAACAGTCTGCACAAATTACATGACTCTTTTCCGAATCCTCAAAATGATCAACCAGCAGCTCAACCAAATAAAGCATCATATGTAGTATAAACTTGATAAAGAAAACAAGAAATCAGCCACATCATATGTACAAACATATCACCTGAAATAAGCAATTAAGTTCCAGCAGTGGGCAGTGCTGCCATGAAAGAATTGTATGATGATTCAAGATCGAAGTGGAGTTGACGGGCCTGCTGTTCTGTCAACTCATCTGCAGCTCCCATTTTTGAGAGCCTTGAGAGCCACTCTCTCATCTTTGTCTTCCCCTCAAAATCGGCTGGCAGAATTGAAAGTTTATTAAGGGAAGATGACAGGTCCGACAATAGGGGATGGACCTGGTCAACAGCAACCATATTCAGCTTCAAAGAGTCCATAGCAGTGATGAAATTCTGCACACATTCAGCCACAACAGCAGCTGAGGTTGTAGCTGACATTGCAGCGGCGGCTCTGTGCTCCACAGTGGCGGGCACCCCAGAGGTCACAAGCCGGTTTAGGGCGGCAGGGCATTCCATTTTGTAGGTGTCATGAAATCGCTCAATGCTAGGTACAGTATCTTTCAATGTGGAGGATAAGGTCTTGAAATGAGCAATCAATTTCTGGCATTCAGTTTCGTATTCTGCAGGTGAGATGATGTCACGAACATAAGCCTTCTCGAGCTTTTCAGTTGCCTTTATTATAGCAAAGAGCTCGGCAAAGTTTTCATACATTTCTCTTTCCCGCTTATCATTCCATAGCTTAACCTCCATTAGAGTTGGCGAGAATATTTTGACCTTTGTCAAAAGGGTTGGAGAAGAGGATGGGACACGCGCAAAGATGCTAGTCTTTGTCACTGCAGGAACATCATGCGCAAATGTTACAATTTGTCAATCTAAATCTAACAAATCTTTAAATTACACTGACCAGACTTATAGACTCTACCTTCATACAGATATTTGGAAATATAAATTTCCACATGGAGCTAGTACATAACCCATATCATTTAATTGAAGAGTGCACAAAAGTTCAACGAACAGCAACTGAGCAACATAAAGAATTTCCCTTTAAATGCCATAGCTAAAAAATAAATTTATCAGTTTTTAAAAGCTAAATGAACAAAGATCACCATTGAGAGGTGAAACCCACCAGGTAAACAGACATCCTAGACAATATATTTAGGATCTCAATGTAGACAACAATCTCCCAAGCAATAGATATTACATAAAAAAAATTGAAACAGAAAGTCCACAGTGATATTACATATTTCTCCTATACTTTCTAGTCCAAAAGCTCTCTTAAGTTCTTTTTTTTAATCTAAAAAGTTATGGATCAAGCATCAATAATAAATAATCCAAAAAGTTAACTTAAGTTTGATTTAAAATGCAGAAAGTGAAAATAGGGGAGTTAAAACGACATGAATTTATCTCTATTGATGAGAAAGGGAAGAAATTTATCTCTACTGATGAGAAAGGGAGGAAATTTATCTCTACTGATGACAACGGGAAGAACGAAAGAATGGTAAGAGAAAACAAACTAAGAAATAAAGAGAAAGACAGAAAAGATAAGATAGGAGAGAGGAGAGTAAGAAAGGGGAAGGGAGGCAGAAGAAGGGGATAGATACAGATAAATTTTTATATCAAATTTGTTTCAGCCAAATAAAATACACAGGGTTGGGCTTGGAGGGTAGCTCATATGGTGCGAGCCCCTCATCCTTCACCCCTCTCCTCTCCCCTCTCCCCTCCCCCTAATAGTAATAGAGAAAGAAAAAAAAATACACAAGGGTGGGTTGGAGGGGAGCTCACATGGTGTGAGCCCCTCATCCTTCACCATGTGGAGAGGAGCCGAACCCCGCCTATGTAGTATTCCCCTCTCCCTCCCCCTCCCCCTCATAGCAATAAAGCAAAAAAAAAAAAAAGATACAGAAGGGCCTTGTATATCGTATGGAGTCCTGAATAAGTCGAATCTCTTGAGATAAATGGAACTCTATCTCTAATTGATGATAAGACTTTCTCCAACTAATATTAATCATTTACTTTAATCATTATTTAGTTGTTAGCTTATGCTTAGCTATTTTTAGATTAACTGTAGCCTTTATCATTGTTTTCTCTGAATTGGATTGTTTTTAGTCTAGTCTTCTGATGAGATTGATGTGATAATTTTCTCCTTATTACACTTCAGAGATAAGTTTTAAGTGTATTGGGAATTTTAACTTACCCAAAGTTCCTTGCACAATAAAAAGAACCTTTTGCTACTATGCTTGATGTGAATTGATCTCTCTCTCTATCTCTCTATTTCAATATTATTCTTCTCCTCATTCTCTCTCTCTCTCTCTCTCTCTCTCTCTCTCTCTCTTCCTCCTTCTCGCTTCTTCCCCTTTACTTTCTCCCCCTCCCTTTTAGGTGCATCACCTAGCTTTAGCCAGGCTACCCCAGAATATAGCTTCTAAAGGCACTGATGTTTTCAGAAGTTGGACTGACCCTAACTGTTGACACCGTCAACAGAAAAAAGAATTCTATAAACCAGTGCCAGAGAGAAGGAAAACAGATAGAAAAATTTGAAATAAACCAAAAAATGCAATCAACTGGAGTGAAAGGAATGGGAAACCTAACCACGAAGCCAATACATCTAATGTCAAGAATCAAATGCAAGTAAAAAGATGCACATACAAAAAAAACATGGATAAATGCTATTATACAATTGAGATCAACTTAATGCACACCTTACTCCACTGCTTGGGGCCGGGGGCGGAGCTAGAGCTTCAAACGTAGATTCGGCCAACCCCAGTAGCTTTGGTCCAAACTTTGTATTTGTCTTTAAAAGTTCATATTCAATGTACAAATTATTAATTAAGAACCCGATAACTTAGAAAAAATAGAATCCTTAACCCATTAGCTTCAAATCCTGATTCCGCCTCCGCTTGGGGCCAGCTACGTGAGTCTACTTCTCTTTTCAGCTCCATTTTCTCCTCGTTTTCCACCATACTTTCCATGAGTGTGGTAAAACATTAGAACACCTTGATCAATTTTCACACAATTGAATCTCCTACCTATACTCAATGTGGAATTTTTAGCGAAGGGAGAAAGTTGACTTTGAGAAAGAAGGTGCTTATTGCCGCTTTATTAGTAAGTAAGCTTGTTTTATATCTCCTCAATATAGGCGAAAGATCACTCCTACAAGCAAGCTTTCTCTTATATACGATACCTCACCACATAATTATATTTCCTTCATGCTGAAGGCACTAGTTCGGATGGAAACCCTGATCATTTAATCCTTTCTTAATTTCGTTTTGTCCTTTCTTTTCCGCAAATCTCATAAGCTTGTTGCATCTGATTCTGCCTAAAGTTGTTCAAGGAGAAACACTAGGTGAGCTAATAGAAAGGTTTTGCAACAATAAAAATCCGAGCTTTCAATTGAGAAAAGAGTTAAAAGGAGGGGGAAAAAGAAAAAGAAAACAAAAGCAAAGAGAAGGGAACTCAATAAACCCCTCCTTAACAGAAAAAGTAAACTCCACCAAAGAGAAAGATTGTACATAATACATAGACGTTAACAACATTGTGCATCCATAGATGTGATGAATATATATAGCTCAAAATACACACTTTGAACAAACAATCCTAAAGATGTGGATCTAACCCTCTGCAGCTGGTTCAACCGCATCCACTGATAGAGTAGTAAAAAAAATTAAATTGCATAAAAGAAGGAATGAAGAAGTACCCTAAAAAAACAAAATTTTCAAGCCCCAATTCAAGAAAACGCAAGTAGACGGAAAGAAATAATACATGGTTAGATCATCAATCAATCAATCAAAAAAATTACCGCTCTGCTAACATATACATATGTACAAAGCAAAAAAGAAGGAGAGAGGGGATGGAGAAAGAGCTTACGGTAAAGAAGAAGGTGAAAGACGCACGCGGCTCTGAATAATGAGAAATTGAGTGTTGCAGCAGGTAATCTATCAAGAAAGAATAAGAGAGAGAAATTGAGGTCTGTACTCTTTGCTTGCGCCATACACAGGTTGCGTGTACAGTTTTTACCCATTATTATTTTTATTTTTATTTTCCATATTGTTACTGGTTAATTTCGTGAATGCTCACTTAATTTTTATTTTATTATATCAAAGTTATTAAATTATTTTTTCTTTTCTTTTGTTTCTATCTCTAATAAATTTAAATATTTCTTTAGTTTCAAAAAGAGTGCTAGTTCCTGAACTCATTTAATGTTTAGCGTGGAGGTTAAATTGATTTTTTAAACTCTTTACAATATAATTTATAATTAAACCTTAAATAGAAATATCATAATCATAATTTTAATGGATAAAATTTTACCAAGTATTTGAAACTGTAAAGCAAATAAGCAGCTTCACTTCTCGCCCTTCTCAAAGAATGGTATTTGGGAAGGAGTAATATAATATTTTGAAAATTTATAAATAAAATCTGTATATCAAAACAATAAACAATTGTTAAAGAAGTCTTAATCGAAGTTTGGTGCTCCATAATTTTATTGTTGAAAATGTACAAAATGACAAACAATTTGATACAAGGAAGTATCAGAAGTAGTATGTTGCAAAAGTCAAGACTTTGGAGATGTGGAATATAGTTGTCCACTAGCTAGTTAATGCTAATGTAATAGGAGAGAAACACTTTCAAAATTATCAAATCAATCAATGGAGAATAGTAGTACTATTTTTTACCTAACCAAACCTAAAAGTGAGTCATTAGTTGTTTGTTCCACCTAATTATGAGCACTCGTTATTTGACTCGTGATTAAAATGCTTAGGCATTTGTGTATATTCTTAGCCTTTGACTTGTATAATGAGATTTTTGTGGTTATAAGATGTTTTATATATCATAATCATTTAATGATTAAAGTCTTCTACTTTATGTCAATATAATCTTTAATTAAGCAAAGAAAAGAAATCAACTTTTCTTGCATGCTTGGAGTCAAGAAATACATGTTTAAAGTCCCTAACATAGTCGGTAAGTACAATTGTATCCTCATCTTTTACTTTTGTTTCAATTGCATCCTCAGATTTAACCGTTTCATTTTCTATTGGTCCTCGCATCTTCTTCAACTCTTTCACTATTTTTTCCTTGCATTCGTTCTATAATTGAGTCCTTGTCAATACCATATTTTTCAGCAACAAAAAAATAATAATAATAATAATAATAATAATAATAATAATAATAAAATTCCAAAATTGTTTCCATCACACCAAGCACATCTAAAATACTCCCCCTACCAAAATAAGGTTTCCCTTTTATGGTTCATGTTCTTTGATGTTTGGCATATTTCGAGATGAGTTAATGTTACTTTACCCATGCTTTAACCACTTTTTGA